ATTTTCTCTTGTACTCCTAACTCTCCACTGAGGTGTACACCACCATCAAAGTGGGTGCCTGTACCTCTGCAGGTCTCAGGGGCCTCTGAGCTGGTTGCTGTTTTGGCCAAAGCAATGGGAACTCCTTGCTAAACCATGAGCTCTTGTGTTCTGACCCAAAAATGCAGTGACCAGCTGTGCTGAGGAAAGCTCAGGAAAATCCAGTCTCCATCAAGGAGACCAACAGCCCTGGAATCCACCTACCCCTGCCAAGCCCTCTGGGAGCATCTGGGGTTTGACCACTGCTATAATGAGTAAATGTTGTACAAATGTAGTTCTGTGTCCTTGCTGGAGGGGTGAGAGATAAAGCTGTGCCTGAGAGAGAGTCTCAGGTCATCTTTGAAGACTAAAGAGCAAGGTAATCAATTACCACAAGCCTGCCCGCAGGCCTTCAGCGAATCTGGCTCCTTTCCATAGCAGAAATAATAGCAATGTCCTTTGCCAGGTAATTTTCCAAATGATTATTTTAAATAATATGTTGCTGTGATCCAGCAAAAGAGTTTGGAGATTTATGAGAGCGTCTGTCTGAGAGAGGAAGAGCAGCCGTGAACTCTGCGGGCTGGCAGCGAGCAGCACGGGGCAAGAGGCACATCCAACACTCCCAGAGTGTCTCATTGCTCAGGTCCCCTCTGGGGCTGGAGAAATGGACACAGGGACACACATCCCATCCCTCAGCACTGCCTGCCAGCATCCCAGGTCACCAGGCAGATGGTGCTGGAGCTGCTCTGAGCTGGGAGGATGCACGGGGGGTGGTGGTGATGGATGGCTCCTCTGCCTTCCTGGGACAGCTCTGCTCAAAAGGCAAAGGATGTTTGTTGGTCCTGGATCCATTGCCCCTGCCTGTGGTAAAAGCTGAGACAAAGCCCTGTTTTAACAGCAGCAGTGGGTGCAATATTTGGCAATACATTTTATTTCCTGGCTTGGAAATGAAGATCGTGGCTTTGTGTAGAAAACAATCCAACAAGTCTTGGAGAATATGTTCTCATGGGTGCTTCAGGTTACTCTGGCCATTTGCCTGCTTTACTTTATTTTTTAAAAGCAGAATTAGGATACCTTAATCCAAGGTGGATTTTGTCATTTCTTGCCTGTTGTTGGATTTGGGAGAGAAGGGAGGGAACATGCAGTTGCTTCAGGATCAGCAGATATCCTATGAACAAATAGCTTGGCTCTTCTTCCCATTAACTGGGACCCTGAGCAACTGGGTCTGGTGGGACATGTCCCTGCCCATGGCAGGCATGTTGGAACTGGGCTACCTTCAAGGTTTCCTCCAAGCCAAACCATTCTGTGATTAAATAGCCTGTGATGGCTTTGTCAGTGTTGAGGAGGTGCTTGTAGCGGGATTTGGCAGATGATACTGCCAGAGTGGAGTCAGTGAAAGGAGCCTCAGTGGAACTGAGAATCTCTCCTGTTGTTTAGGAAGGGAAAATAGCACATCCTGACAGAAACATGTGGCCAAAAAGTGCATGTCCTCATCATCATAATGGCATTTTGTCTCTTTTTCTCCCTCCAGGTTACCTTGCACCCCGAAACCTTCCCAGTGCAGGCTTCTTCCCGTTCCTGCAGACGGTGCTGTGTGATTCCGATGCCAGGTGTAAGGGCACGCCATACACACCAGAAGATCTGCTGCCAAGGCTTAATGACATCTCACCCCTCAGACTGTAAGGGAATCTGAATATTTCCTGGTGTTAGGAGGCATAAACAAAGCCTGTTTTGAGGGGGAGGGAGCATCCCTGCATGTCTGTGTGTATGTACAAGTTTGTCCACAACAGATATACCTCAACTACCTGTTCTAAGAGATGTCTGACACTTAGAAAAGAGAACATCAGCTGCAACTGGACACTTCAGAAATAATCACATTAGGGACAGCTCTCAGTATGTGTCCACTGATTCAGGCTTGAATCTTCTACTGAAGGGAGTTTTGCTCCCTGAGAAAAACTCTTCAGCTCACCCAGATCAAAGCAAAGGAACATGGTTTTGCATGGCTGTGGGTTAGATCAGTGATAAGACTTGCCCCAAGAGCAGCCCAAAATGTTGATCTGCCACTGAGAGGGATCAGTTCAGGATACTTTGGCTGGAAGTTTGGATGTTAGTTCTGGAGCAGCTGCTCTTTGAGCACATCCTCCAGAATGGGTGTCCTCTCTGCAAGCCATCAAACATGTTGGGAAACACATGAAAATGCAGAAACAATTTGTGCCCACAAAAGCACAGGGATTTGCAGCATGGAGCTGGCTGGGCATGTTTTGTTGGAATGTCCATTTGCTGAAATGGAAATGTTCACTGGGACCATTTCAACTTCTTGATGTTCCAGTTGAAGTCAAGTAGGATTTGCCTTGAGGCTTGCCAACCAGGGTGGTTTCTACACCTTGGCTGCCCAGTTCTGACAGACCCCTGGGGAACATGCCATGCTGAGGCCTGGCTGCTTCATGGAGAGCTAAAAATCTGGGCATCTCACAATGGCCCTGGTTACTTATCTTTGCTTTTAGGTGAGAGGCTGCTCCATAGTCAGAGTCTCAAATCCCCCCTGGTGAGAGGCTGAGATTCTGAAGAGCTAAAATGGGCCCACCATCAGGCAGTCCTGAGGTTGGTGGCTCCTTAAAGATCCTCCCTAGTGCAGAGGGAGTCATTTCCCGGGCCAATTCAAAGGTCAGAATCTCTCCGTGGGTGGGAAGGATGACTAAGGATGTGGGCAACTGAAGTTGCACAAGGTGAATCCTAATTAAATTCAAGGTCATGCAGCAGAAGAGAGGAGGAAAGGCAAAGCCACATGGAGACTGGATGCCTGGATTCACAGCTCTGTTCCTCAGTGTCATTGTTTTTCCCTGGGCATGTTAAACAATGGTTCATTTGGGGTATTGAAATGAAGAAATGGGAGCTTCTAGTGCCAAGGCTGGAGGTCTTCCATGGGTTTGAATAGCCACAAATCCTCCTTGCTTTCTGCTTTTGGTTTCTGAAAAGCTGTTTAGGAAGTAAGTGGTTTTTCCTGCCAAATGAAAACCAAAGGATTTGGCCAAATTTTATATCAAGAACATGAGTTATTAACAAGCATCTTGACTGCTTTTGATGCTTGAGATTATGTGTGGGAACTATCATTATAGATATGTGGCCATTCCTCCCCTTGCATGGTCAGTGTCAGCCTTGGTGTGTCCTACAAGGAAAACCACCAACTATTAAGTAGCCACTCCAAAACTAGCAGGATGCAGCAGAGTCTAAAACCTCAGGAAAAGATTCCTTGGGAAGGGGAAAGCTCCAGATGAATAGGTGCAGCTCTGCCTCAGGGGTGCAGGATCCTCATTGATGAGTTTGTCACAAGGTGTTTGAGCCATGGCCCTTCACTACCTGGATCTGTTGTTTTGTAATATTCAGCTAATCCAGGCTGTTTCTCTCCTCTCCCATTGTGCAACTCACTGAAGCTCTTGTTAAGCTGTTTTATAACTTCTCCTAGAACTATGTATAACCAGAGGTCAGCAGGGAAAATGGGCAAGGTTCTCCCCTTTGATTCTGTTCCTCAGAGGCATTTACCAAGGTGTGCATGGTAACGTTGCTTGAAATTTCCCTTAATAAAAGGGAACCAAGTCCAAAAACCAAACTCAGCAACCTGTTCTCCTGTAATGGAAGGATGTGTAAGGTCCTGTTGTCTGGAAGGATTTCTTGGTAAGGCCACACACTTTATAGCCATGGAGTTCTGTACTTTTGCTTCCCCAAGGGACATGCCAGGCCTCCAGAAGGAACCAGGCTTTTGCATAACCCAGATTTCAACACACCTGCCATGAAATCCAGCCACAGATACATGCTGAGTTAAAGCAGCAAGTTAATTATATGAAATTCTGGCAGTTGTTACAGTTGTCTCTTCTTTTTTTTTTTCCTTTTTTCTTCTTTTCTTTTTCCTCCCAGCAAGCGCAGGAGCTCATCCAGTGTAGCCAAGGACAGGCAGCCATCACCATGGAGTGCAGAGGTTCCTGAAAGCAGGAGTGCTTCACTGGGTAGGTTCTCACTGCTCTTTTGAAGATCTCTGGACAGAGCTGCAGTTCTTAGAGCACTGCTGAAATGATTTATGTGTTTCATAGAGGCACGTGACATTAGTGTAAATTCTTGGGGACAAGTACAAGTAGTTGTAGAAAGGACTTTGGAATTTGGCCAAGAAACCAGGATTAAATGGTTGTGTTTCACAGGAGCAATGCAAGATCACAGATTGATTGGACATTAATTAGAGACCTGGCTGTTTATGGAATATTGCCCTTTCACTACCCACAAATTCTCCATAAACAGCTTATGATTTTTTTTTTCCAAATGTGTTCTTATCCACAGTTCTCCAGCAAATAAGTTGTCTTCTGTGCCAGAGTGGATATTTATTGTTGGTGATGTTCTCCTCTGATGTGATTCTCTTTCCTGAAGGAACTTTCAGCCTGAAAGTTTCCATAAAATCATTACAATTATTATTTATTGATGGTAATGGCTGGTACAATCTGCAAGCCATCGTGATGGATAGTCCTTTCTGCAGGGAGCTCACGATGAAATGAATGATTACAGATTTGCATTTGCCTGTTCTGCTCCAGCCATTCACTGTTCCAATTAGCATTCCTGCCAGCACCCTCCGTGGTGCACAGACAGAAAACGGCAGAATGCAAAAGGGACCAAGTGCAGAGGCGTGGGGAGGGGAAAAACAAATCAATGAACAGTTATGGGAACTATTGACTCATGCTGATGGTCAGGGAGGAACTCAGTTCTACATTTTATTTAAAAGTAAAATTTAAAATGATAGGTCATGGCCCCATATAACAACTTACAGTGTGATCCAGAATTTCATTATATCAGAAAAAAACCCTAAAGTACTTACAGGTAGCCATTGGCTGTATCTTTGGAAACAGTTTGATAATGCACCCAAAGCTGTAGGTAGCTGTCCTGTGTCCTGCTTTTATGTAGCAAAGAGGTTTGAAAAGCCATAAGTGAAATACAGTGTTTCAAACTGTTATTGCAGCATTTGGGGATTTGGTATCTCATGGAGAGAAAAACCTTCAGAATGTTTCATCACCATCCAACTTGACTTCCAGCACCCACACATTCAACAAGATCTTCAATTTTGGGAAGGTAAGTCTCTATTTGCATAATAGCTGAGTATGAACATTGTGTATTCTCATATTTAAAGAATTAGAAGCTCAAAGTACCAAGACACAGCTTTTATTGCTTTAGGATCACCCTTATTATGTGAATGAGCTTGATTTTGGAAACACAGTGATTGTGGGTGGATTTTTAAGCTTTGTGGTGAATTTTTTATCCTCTAGGCAGAAACCAGGCAAACCTTGAGACATAATATCGTGAAATACAAAATATATATAAATATCCTGAGATACTTTGTTCAGAACTTGTGGAGTTAAGATATTTGCAGTATATTTTCTTTCTTATGAAATTAAAAATATTATGTCAGAGGCTTTGACATTTAAATATTTATCTGCCCATGCTAGTCCTGCGGTGGCATCAGAGGCACTGTGTGTTTATTGTATAGGTATTTAATATTTATAGAATCTATTCCTTTGTAATAGAAATTTGTTACAATGCAGTGGACACTGCTTTTGTGGTTTGGTGTCAAGGCCTACAAACACTTAAGCACACATTTCTCTTTGTAATAGATGAGGAACTTGAAGGGTTTTAGTGAAACTGTTCAGCTGTTAGATCTGTCCATGCTGCAACCACAATGCTTTTCATTTACTGCTATCCCTTAAAAAAAGTCTCATCACTGCATTTAGCACCATCCCAAACACAATATTGCTTTGCAGCCCCCCTGAATGTTTGTTGTTCTTCCAGAGGCAGCCCCAGCACTCTACTGCAGGGAGCCTCAGGGCCCTGCTGTGCCAGCTCTTGTCGCGGTACCTGGCACATCCCGGTGCCACGGGAGGGAGCATGGCAGCCAACATCCACCACACCTTCTGCTTCACCAACTCCTCGCTTCTGGAGGCCTTTGCCCAGGAGTTCAGGACCCAGCTGTCCCAGGTGAGTGCCTGGGACCTTCCCTGGGGGCTGCAGCTGGGAGCTGTGGCAGTTCAGGCACATCAGGCAGGGTTTGGAGCTACCACACGGCCCCTTGTGGGCAGGAGTTGCTCACCTCTGTGCCCAAGTGCAAGTGGGGCGCAGTGAGGATGAGTGAATTCCTGTGCATGGGGTTAACCCAGAGACCTCCAAGCTGAGAACATGGCTTGGAAAGCCAAGGGTCATCCAGCCATCAGCTCATGGCTACCAAGGGTTCTCACCATGCCTGGGCCTTGCTTCTCCTCTTTCTTTGCAGGTCAGTAGAGCAGCATGAGGATGTGGTGTAAATAAGAGTGTTTAAACCTTGGGAAGGCAATAAATTTAATTGTGTATTACCTCAGCAGTATCACTTCATCCAGTGACTCCTGCATCTGGTCCAACAATTCATGATTGAAGCAGTATTTGTCTTTGGGAAAGCAATAGAATGAAAGCAAATTAATCCTTTAAAGATAAAGCCTTCTTTTTTTTTTCTTTGCCAAGGTTAGGATTGATATTAATTTTCTTCTATTCCTAGTCTTTGGACTCTCTAGGACATTGTGAATTGTAGGGCTTGTCTGAGCAGAGAATTTATTGTACAACCTGGGGTGTGAAGGTAAAACAGTCACACTCTCAGTTATTACCTGTTCCTTGAATGTATTGTTTGCAGACATGCATGCAAGTACAGTGCCAGCTAAACAACATAGGTGTACCCCCCAGCAGCAAGGCTTCTGGTTGTTAAATAATTTCTTCTGGTTCTTAAAAAATTTCTTACATTTTTGTTTGTCAAGGTGCAGCACAACCCAGAGTACCAGGAGACTTTTGTCAACGAAATGGTCTCATTTCTGACACTCATCTCCCAAGTGCAGAATGACACCTCCCTGTGGCACCTGCTTTTGCTGGCCCCAGATGTGTTTCAGGACAACATGCAGCTGCGAGACATCATTGATTTCCTTCAGAATCCAAGCAGGTAAAACAGAGAAGGAGAAGCACTGAAAGCTGCTGGGTTTGTGTACTGACCTCTAAGGGCATCATCTTTCTTGAAAGAAAGGTGTTACCTTAAAAGCATGATTTGTTTGGGGAATGATGCAGCTCCATGCTAATGCATCTCTAAAGGTGTCTGTGGACTGTGAGCAGTGTGTTGTTTTTCAGTGACTCTTGGGTCATTCTTTTAATGGGAACTTAATATAAACTCTTGAATTTTCTCCCAGCCTGCTCAGAGGCACTGTCATGCCCTTGTGCAGATAGAAAAGCTGGTGAGTCACAGGCACTGCCTTTGGTGGAAGAAAAGCCCTCCTGGCTGGATGAAGAAAGCAGCCAGCTGCTTCTTTCCAGAATAGCACAGAGCCAAGTTCAGCTTGCTTTGGAACACCTCAAGCACTTGTAGGGGAGCCATAATGTTGTTTTTTAAAACTGATTTCCTAATCTGCTGCTGGGTTAATCTTTCAAGACTGGTCCCAAGAAAGCAGGGAAGAGAGGGAGCCTGGTTTTCTACCACATGGGCTTTAACACATCTGACTTGAAGAAGAAAGTGCCAGTTATGTACTTGCTCAGTGGTTATATGAAAAACAGAGCTGGCTTAACTGCATTATTTAACGGTACTGAAATATTTGATGCAGTTTGCACCTATGGCAATACAAATTTCTAAAATGGGCTTAGCCTTGAAATCCCTTTCCTGGGCTGTAGTTTGGCTTAACTCTTCCTGATCTCCAGAAGACACAAGTTACTCAAGATTAAGGGACTCTGTTCCAAATCATCTTCTGGATGTGTGACTGATCCTGCTTGTTACAGTACATGGAGGACACCAAGAAATTGAGTGTCATCAGACTGCTTTTTGTTTTTATCTTGCATACACGAGCAGTTGGGTTAAGATGCCAAAAGAAGTTGTAGAAGCTTTGGCACTTTGATTTCACCCAGGCTTAGAGGGACTCACTTTTGATCACTGGTGTGTTGCTGAGGCACTTAGAAACCTGTACATTTAATATCAAGGTAATTTTCCATGCTGCATTGTGAGACCCATGTGTAAGCTGTAATGTCCTTATCCTTAAAGGAGTCAGCAGCAATGTGGCAAGAATTGGAATTTTATTCAGAAGCATTTTGTTCATGCTGCTGTTTCAGTCACAGGATTATTACATTTGGTTGCATTTACTGGCTTGCAGAACCCAGCCTGAGAACCAGCCCTGTTGGAGTGCCCAGGGAGAATTAATATTTACTGTGCTGCCCTGCTTTGGTCTCCAGCTGCAGAGCTGGGGGAAGTTATCATAGGCACAACAAAGAGGCACATAGAATTTCATCACCAGAGCTGTGCAGTGCTTTTATCCCTGGCATCTGGCACTGTAAATGCATGAGTAAAGAGTTATTGCAAAGAGATTGCACAAATAGTACTTTTAATGATGCTTACAAAAGCACATCTTAGCCAGCCTGCCCACGTCTCTTACTCAGGCAGGACTGAACTCCTAAAAAAGTGCTGTACAGGGATTTTTTTTTTTTTTGTGGTTGAAATATGAAGGTATAGAAGAAAAGAACTTTTGCTCGTTGTTGCATCTGTAGGAACCAAGTGATAAACACCACCAGTGTGAAACTGTAACTTCCAAGTCATGAATCCTATAGAAAGTTTAGCAGCAAATTTTATTGCCCACAAAAACCTGGTTTGCAGACTGATTTCACAAATGTTCCTGTTTGTTGCTGAAAGATAGTTTTTCAGCTAAGCATATAAGCTGAGCTTTTTCTCCACAGCCAAAGTCTGCAGAAACCCTGCAAGATTGAAATTAAAGGGCAGCAACAACACTTTTTTCCATGTTTGCTGCCTTCTGATCTGTGTGAGGTGCATCCATTTTTGGCAAGTCTGTGCCTGCCTCCTCCTTGGCTCTGCCATTGCTCAGCTAAATATGTCATTTGTAACTGGGTTTCTTCCCCTCTAAGACTCTTCCAAGCACATCTGCAGAATGAAAATGATGAGCACCAAGCCCAGGAAGCCTGCATGGAGACATTATGGTAAATTAGGAGAGAAGAGATCCCCAGTGCTCTGCTCTCAGTAGCAGCCTGTTCCCACAGATCAGTATGTATTTATTCATGCCACTGAGATCATTGTGTATCACCTGCACAACCTGAGGCAGGTGAGAGAGAGATATGGTGCATTTCAGTGACCCCACAGCTACAGTGAAGGCTGCTCTTTATACAGGAGAAGAAGGGACTAAAAATCACAGTGAAGTTTTCAGTAACCTGCACACCTGAGCAGGCAGTCCTTTAAATTAGTTCCTCTGTGATACAATATGCCTATCAGCTTGTTCCTTCCTAAGCCTGGAAAACATTCCTTGCTTCCCTGGCAGCCTGGATATTACAGCATGAAAAAGGAAAGAAGGAGAATTGGAAATGGTACCAGTTATTTGTGATCACTTCTTCCTTCCACAGATGTTTTCCCCCCTGGGATCCCTGCTCTCCCTGGAGCCTTGTTTCCTTGGTTCTTGGGGATTTTTAGGAGGGAATTCCCCTGCAGCAGTGAATCACATGGCTGCTGTGTCACCTGGGTGTTTTCTGGATTTTAGTGGCCTGTAAATTTTACATAACTCTGAAAAAGTGCATCTAATGGGTGCCACACGAGTGTTTGTGCTGATACACCACCATGGCTTTCCCTGGTGTTTGTATCTTGTGCATGATCAAACCAATCATTAAAAATAGAGGTGATGTCTTGTCTGTCAGACGTTTTAAGAATGATAGGCTGTATTCCAGCTGTTTCCTATTAGAGCATATAAACCTGTAACCACAATTTATTTTCCTTTTTCCCCCCTCCTTCAGTGTTGTGCTGGGAGCTCAGAATGTCTCTGCATCTCCGGTGAGCGATGATAGATTCAAAACTGTTCAGAATGAGGTTGCAGATTCTCCACTTCCCATGAGCTGCTTGGAGCAAGGTAAGACTCCTCCATTGAGTCATATCTCTGCTGAAAACCTGTGGTGCTGAGGAGAAGCAAACTGCAGGCTAATGAGTAACCATACAGATTGCACACTGTTCAGGGCTCAGCATAATGGGTTCTTCCTTCAGCTTTTTGCAAATGCGAATAAAATGCCTCATTTCAAATGGAAAAGTAAAAAAGGCTTGGGTTTGTCAGTAGATAATGAATTAACATGAGTTTGCAGCCTCAGTGGAAATGGGGAGCAGTATTTTTTCACTTTGATTTGGTTTTTTTGGGGGGTGATGTCAAAATCTGCCTCTGGTTGTGGGCTCTAACTCAGCTTGGTGCAGCAAGGCAGGGGCTGCACAATGAGCTGTTGACATCCTGATGAGCCATTCCTTCAAATCCCTGTCCCTTCAGCAGAGATATCCCCCTCTAGCTGGGGATCTGGGAACAGGCAAGGGAATGGAACTAAATGCTACAAGGGACAGATGGGGATTGCTGTCCCTTCTCTACTTGTTTTGTGGAGATTGTGGGAGTTGAGGTGGGTAAGAAGAAAGATGAGGTGTGCAAGAAGGGAAAACATGGAAAGTGGCTGGTGAGAGGATTGGACACATGGGGATATCAAGATGAGTGTAAATGGCTGTGGAGGACATAAATGATGCTGCAGACAGAGCTTATGTGTGAGCAGTAAAAAAGCAACCCTAAATGAAGGGAAAGAAACCACAATAAATCCTTGGCCACCTTCCTCTGCATTACTGACAGCGAAGTGCCCCTAAAGCAGGAGGAAACCTCTGTCAACATCCAGATCACAGGGGCATTGAATTGTTCCTGAATGATTTCAGCACAGAAAGGCACTTCTAGGAGTCCATCCTCACTTCCCTTGAAAGGCCAAGAGGAGTTACACCCCAAAAGAAAACTCAGATTTGTAACCAGGTTATTGTGGCTTGTGGTAGGAGCCTGACTTCATATGTGCATATTGTCCTGAATAGATTTGCCATTATAGCACCTTTCAGGTTCCAGAATTACGTGATCTTTACTAATATTCTTTTCACATTTTTGTTGTAGATAAAGAAAGAAGTTGGGTGACCAGATCTATTTGTAATTCCTTTGTTCACTGGAGAGACAATCACACTTTAGTATCTGAATTGGAGGAAGTTCTAAGGTGAGACATTAGCTAAAGGGATATTACTAACAGTGTAATTCAAATCTATGATCTTTGCTCTAAATCACCTTACATTTCCACTTGCATTGATTTCATATTCACTAAAACACTTTTTTGTTCCCCTCCAGAAAAATAAAGTCACCAGAGATTGGTGGAAAGCTCTCCAAGAGGTCCATTAATTCAGATGATTTAGAAGCCATACAAAAGCATCTACATCGTTTAACAGGCTTTGAGGAAAAAATGAATAGAAGTGAATTAAAAAGCTTAAATCTATTCAGAAATTTGAAGAATGAAACATTACAGAAATTGTATGCATTTCTTGAACTGGGAATGAATCCACACCATGATTATAAATTAAAGGAACCATATAATAAGGAAATAATTGATGAAATCTATAACTTCACGTCACTGCAATTACAGAGTGACTTTAATGGGACTTCCATTTTCAATACAATGACCCACTGGAAAGAAATTCAGAGGGCTTTAAAATTAGCTTCAAAGCTTTGGAATCCAGCTCTCCAAAGTAATTCCAATTTTAGTACATTGAAAACTAAGGATGCTCTCAAAATGTTGTTCTCCACAAGCATGCCATCACTTCTGGAAGGTCTCAGAGACCGTTTGAGTGGATTGGAAGAAATCCCATCTGTGTTTTCTGATGATCTGCTTGAGCCTGACTCCTACAGAAACTTCCCAGAGCAGCTCCTAGCTCTCGAGGAGATGTTTTTTAGAATGATGGGCACAAATGTAGGCTATCAGTACCTCCTGCTGCCCGTGTTTGAGCTGATGAGGGCCGTAGAGAAGTCCATGGGGGAGGCCTGGTGGGATGAGCTGAACGTCTACTGGCGCATTGGGGAGAAGCTGAGATCCATGAGGTGGAATAACACAGCCATCGTTGCCTATGGGCAGTTCTTGGAGGTGTTAAACAGCCATTTGCAAAAGCTGAATAATAAATCGAGTGGTGTCTTCAGTGAGGAGCTGGATCAGCTGTCAGAGCTCATAACAGCTGTGTTTAAAGAGTTTGGGGAAAGCTCTGGAGTAGCCAATATCTCACAAGTCACTCAAGCCATCCAGAAGACATTGAACATCTTAAAAGACTTACAGCTGAATTATAATGTCAGTGCGTTAAAATCTATAGATCTTTTCTTTAATTTTAACAATAAAACCTTGGAGAGCTTGTCTGAACTTCTGAGAACAGGAATGAAAATCCTTCATTATACAAGTGCCAGTGAAGGTTCCAGTGAAGACATAATTAAACCCATCTATAATTTAACACATCTTCTACTGCAGGAGTTCAGCCAGTCTCCCTCACAGCACAATTCCTCACTACAG